AGTGGGCGGGCACTCGGGAACCCCATTGTGCTGGAAAGTCAGCCTGATCATAGCCACACTCTCTTCTTTAATGTTTTTATTGATTTCAGAGAGGAAGGGGGGCGGGGGAGAGAGAACATCCATGATGAGAATCACTGACCAGCTGCCTCTTGCACGCCCCACACCCTAGGGATGGAGGCTGCACCCCGGGCATGAGCCCCGACCGGAATCGCATGGTGACCTCCTGCTTCATAGGTCGATGCTCAGCCACCGAGCACACTCTTTTTTAAATTATTTTTAGCCAAAACCGGTTTGGCTCAGTGGATAGAGCGTCGGCCTGCGGACTGAAAGGTCCCAGGTTCGATTCCGGTCAAGGGCATGCACGTTGGTTATGGGCACATATGTGCAAAAGGCAGCTGGTCGATGTTTCTCATTGACATTCCTAGCTTTCTATCCCTCTCTCTTCCTCTCTGCAAAATATCAATAAAATATATTTTTAAAAAATTATTTTTAATATTTTTTTACACACACTCTTAGTATAAGGTGACCAGACGTCCCAGTGGGCACATCCCTGGTTGGGGGGTGTGTGTGTGCAGGAGGCAGCTAGTCGGTGTTTCTGACTATCTCTCTCCTTTCCTCTGTTAAAAATCAATAAAAGATATTAAAAAACAAAAAAACAAAAAACCTTGGCATATCAGGACGACTCTCCAACCAACTGACTCTCCAACCAACTGCTGTCCTGGCATTTATTTATTATCTGACTGTGGGCACAGCGGGCTGTCAGTCACTGCGCTCTGGCAGCCATGCTGCAAGGAGGAAATAAACAGCGTCAGGCAGAGGTGGCTCTCGTGGGCTCCGTCAGGGCGGTGCTGAGTCCTGGGCACACCATCCCCAGCAACTTAGAGCTGGGGTTCACTTTACGTTTCAACTTGACGAGGCCCTGGGGTGTCCAGGTATTGGGTCAAACATTATCTGGGAGTTTTCCATAAGAGTGACTCGATGATATAAACGTTTAAATCAACAGAGTAAAGCCATGCTGCAAGGAGGAAATAAACAGCGTCAGGCAGAGGTGGCTCTCGTGGGCTCCGTCAGGGCGGTGCTGAGTCCTGGGCACACCATCCCCAGCAACTTAGAGCTGGGGTTCACTTTACGTTTCAACTTGACGAGGCCCTGGGGTGTCCAGGTATTGGGTCAAACATTATCTGGGAGTTTTCCATAAGAGTGACTCGATGATATAAACGTTTAAATCAACAGAGTAAAGCCATGCTGCAAGGAGGAAATAAACAGCGTCAGGCAGAGGTGGCTCTCGTGGGCTCCGTCAGGGCGGTGCTGAGTCCTGGGCACACCATCCCCAGCAACTTAGAGCTGGGGTTCACTTTACGTTTCAACTTGACGAGGCCCTGGGGTGTCCAGGTATTGGGTCAAACATTATCTGGGAGTTTTCCATAAGAGTGACTCGATGATATAAACGTTTAAATCAACAGAGTAAAGCAGATCGTGTGTGTGTGTGTGTGTGTGTGTGTGTGTGTGTGTGTGTGTTGTGGGGAGGTGTCATCCGAGGAGCTGAGGCCTGAATAGAACAGAGTCTGTTTCCCCCAAGTAAGAGGGAATTTTCCTGTCTGCCTGTGTGGAATCTGGACACCTGCTCTTCTTGGCCCTTGACCTGGGACAGCACCCTGTGGCCTGGCCACGCGCCGTCTGCGCGCACGTAGCCGCCTGAGGCCGGGAGGCACAGAGGCGAGGAGGGACCAGGACGCGCGGAACCAACCTGGTCCCCGAGGCCAGGCCCCGCAGAGGAGTGACCGGGTGGCCTGGGGCCCTCAGCGCAAGGACAAACAGGACATGGCGGCACTGGGAAGTCAGACAGACCTGTCGGCCTTTATTAGCCACGAGCCAAGCCGCGCCCCGAGTTTCCGCTTTAAAAACCCAGCCTTGTTCGTGGCAAACAATGCTTTAATTGTGTTCAATACCATAGAGCAAGAGTCAATCACTTCCAATCACTGATTCTTCTGAGATTAAAACACAAGTGCAAAATGGCTTAAAATAAAATTCTTCGCAATGATTTAAAAATAATCCCAATCGAAAGACATTTCAAACACCATGTACAGACTCAGGACCTGAAGACATTTTGACCGTTGAGGTAGCACAAGGATGCCAAATTAGGTTTCTTTTGTTTCATGGAGCTTTCAAGAAAACCACGAGGAATCGACCTTTTGCTCAAGGTGGGCTAAATGGTTTTCTGCAAACCCCCCAGGGGGTGAGGACAGTCTCCTTTAAAAAGAACCCTTTTAAGTGTAAAGATAGCCCTACAGTGTGTGCGGGGACCCCGTGGGAAGGCGGTTCCATACCAGACACGAGAACCGAGGAGGGATGCCAGCAGCAGGATGGGGGGCGGGGGGGGGGGGGGGGTAACCAGTGGGAAAGACTGGTTCAAGCCCATGGCAAGAAAAACCTCCGACTGGAAACAAAGGACAGAGGACATTCACGGGTCTTTTCCTTTTTCTGTGCAAAATGCTCTCAGTGTTTCTGAAGGAGGGCCGCTTGCACACCGGAAGAAGCGATGCTGAGCCCTCATGGAGCACTCTGCCGGCTAAGAGGGAACACCACCTCTGGCGGAGGAACACTTCTCCGCTAACTCGCTCATTAAACTGCTCGGCCCCCACCCCGGATCTGAGAGCCACAGCAATGACACTACGCAGGGACCTGGGACACTGAGCAGCGGTCGGAGCACACGCACCTTCTCTCAGAGTGCGGTGTGACGCCGGCCGGGAGGCGGGAGGGCACTGCACCTCGACACTCACTCTCCACCTCCAAAACCAACCGACAAGGAGTCTCTTCCCAGCACACGCTCTGCCCCTGAGACATGGCCGCCGGTGCAGGCCTGGCAGGCAGGGGTGGGCCCGGGGCCTGGAGTGGAACCTGTTTGAACCTCCGGCTCCCGAGCTGCACCAGGCTCCTGGCACCTTGGTCACGGCTCTGTCCCCTCACCCGCTGGTCCCTGTAACGGCTCCCTCCTCCAAGCCAGCCCCTAAGGGCCCGCATGCAGGGAGAGGACTGTGGTCCACGTGGCATCGGTGATGAGCAGGACGTGACCTGGTGAATTCGCTATGGCACACCAGCATGGGGAGCCGGTCCCAGAGGCTCCGAGGGGGACACTGAACTGGGACGGGCGAGGGGGCAGGCGAGAAGGCCCGCCTGGCGGCCTGTAGGAGAGACTGGCACGGAGCTCCCAGTGCCCTGACTGATGCTGGCAGGGTGGGTGGGCGGGAAGGGGGCACCTGCAGTGCTTTAGCGGAGTCCTCAGAGTCGCTCCTGAAGCCACGGGCGCGGTGTGGTGAGATCTGCTCTCCCGCTCCTCTGCCCCGGGGGCAGCCCCAGAGAGAAGCCACCTGGGGAGGCCATGAGGAAGGCCCCGGGGTCCCGGCGCTAGCTGCCTGTTTTGGGGCACTAGTCACCTGGCGGGACCCAGGGCGGCAGTGCAGGCTCCCGGGGCAGCTGGCAAAGCACCCGCCTTCCCGCACGGAGCACAGGCCCTCCCCGCCGCACTGCCGGTGGCAGAAACAGCATGGCTTGTGTGGACAGAAGGCCCCACGGGCGCTCTGTCCGTGGGCACAGGATGCCGAGAACCCCAGCGTGTCGCCTCCTAGGGATTGACTGAGTTTTACAAGTTTTTAAGAAATCATACTGGAAAGGGCCTCTTGATTGAATATAAACTTGGCTACAATGCAGATTTCACACTGCTCTTAGGATCGCTTCTCACACCTGTTTTTAAGCCGTTCTGGGGGAAAAATTTCATTCTGAAATGTATCTAGTTAATTAGGACAACTCATCAGATTTCTACCCGATTGTGATTAAAGGTTTAAAAAGTTTTGAAATACAAGCTATTACTTCCCTTTGGGGTAACAACTGGAACCCGAATACCCTAACATCGTAGTGAGAAAGGTTCCGCAGTAATTCTAAAAAATTGAAAACAATGCCGAGTTGTGAAAGCTAACCAAGAGCTGACCGTTAGGATAAAAGCCTGAGTCAGCTGACAAACTGACACATCTGAACGTATCCAAGGGGAATTCCTAGATAGAGAAACACTGTTGTGATTTCAAAAAATGGCTGCTGCTTCTTTAAAGAGCGGAAAACGGGTGTCCCACAGCGAGGTGAGGTGGTGCCTGGACAGAGGGTGGGGCTCTCGGCAGGAGGCCTCCACTGGCACAGTGCCCACGCCAGGATGGCACCGGCCACAGGATGGCAGGAGCCTCCAGGGAAGGGAGGGGTCAGGGAAAGGGATGGACCTCCAGGCCCAGCTCCTTACAAATAGACAGAATTTATTCATGCAAACCGCACAGATCAAACAAAACAAAATCTATGAAAAGAACCCCTGGCCAGAAAACCTTCCCTCTCTGCTCCCTGAAGGATGCACCAAACCCAAAGGTTCTGCTCTAACATGGCCCCAGGCCCAGGCAGCGAGCTCGGTGCTGAGCCTCGGGCCGGGCTGGCAGGGCCACGCCCAAGCATCGCTGCGAGCTTGGAGGCCGCTGTCAGTGCGGTGGTTGGCAGACAGACCAGCCACAGCCACACTGCCAGCACCCGCTGTGCACCAGAGGCTGCGCTGTGAGCAGTGTGCAGCCTCCAAGGCCACTGGGAGGGAAGCTGCAGGTTTCCTCGCCTGAGGAAGGCTGGTGAGGGGCGGACAGTCCCCATGGGCTGCATGGCCCCCAGGCGGCCTCCCGGGGAGAGGAAAGGGAGGTGCTCACACTTTGGGCTCGGTGTCAGGCACTTAATTGCTGGAGAGACATGCCATTTCGAACCAAAGCTGTGAAACTGGGCTGGGACACTCGTTACACGTCTAATAAGAGGCTTTCGGAAGCAAGTGGAGGCGTGGGCTGCACCGACCCACCCACTAGTGCCGCTGTCCAGTGTCTGATGCCCGTGGCCACAGGGGCGGCTGCGGCGGCGGCGGCAGCTCCGGGGTCTGCCTCCGCACCCGAGGCTGCCGTCAGGTCCGGGCGCCGAGCAGACGGGGCGCACTACGGCCCGGGGTCGCCCAGATCCACGCTGGAGCCAAACATCTGCACCAGCTGCTGCTCATAGTGGCTGATGTTCCGCCTCATGATGGCCATGCAGGGCCCCAGCAGCCGCTCGAACGCCTTCACGTCCATCACTGCGGGGTGAGAGGGGGCAGTGAGCTCCAGACCGGCGACTCAAGCCACCTTCGTCCGCAAACCTCTCCTTCCCGCCCCCCACACCCCGCACTCACTCACTCACACACACACACACACACACACACACACTCACACATCCATCACTGCGGTGAGAGGGGGGCAGTGAGCTCCAGACCGACAACTCAAGCCACCTTCGTCCGCAAACCTCTCCTTCCCGCCCGCCCCCGCACTCACACACACACACTCACACACACACACTCACACACACACACACACACACACACACACACACATCAAACACACACACTCTCACAGACACTCTCACACACTCACACACACACACTCTCTCACACTCACACACTCTCACACACTCACTCACACTCACACACACTCTCACACTCACACACACACACTCTCACACACTCTCTCACACACTCACACACACTCTCACACTCACACACACACACTCTCACACACTCTCACACACACACACACACACACACACACACACTCTCACACACACACTCTCACACACACACACACACACACACTCTCACAGACTCACACACACTCTCACACACACACACTCTCTCACACACACACACACACTACAGGGTGTGGACGGTGGGAGACCAGGCACTCGGGGGGAGGCGGCGGCCGGCAGAGCCCAGAGCAGCGCGCTCTCGCCCTCAGCCCCTCTGGTTCGCAGGCTGGTTGGCAGGCGGTGCGGCGCCCGGAGCCTTTGGCCAAGAAACCCCTCACTCGGGGGCACGCTGAGCTGCCCGCCCGGACGCGGGAGCCGGAGGACGGCCCTGACCCAGCGCAGCGGGCTGCACCAGCTTCTCACCCAAGCACTTGACGTCCCCCACGGCGTACGCAGAGGCAGCGCGGGGCTTGTTGGTCACCAGGGCCAGCTCCCCAAAGTACTGGCCCTTGCGGCAGCGGGCGATCTCCACCTCCTGGCTCCCGTTGTCCTTGTTGGCTTGAGTCTGGAGAGGCAGAGAACACGCCGCTGACGCCAGCCACAGCGGCACTCAGGCCGGTGACAACACCCAGCACCTCGCCGCGGCCTCCCTGCCCGGCCTGCGGCTGCCTCGGGGCCCGGCTCCACAGGAGCGGCTTCCCCGGGACCGCGTCCTGTGCCTTCCAGGTCCCAGAGGGCACCAGAGGGAAGTGCAGGCCATTCCTTTTGAAGGTTTACATATGTTATTATTATATACTTGACACTAATGTGTTATAAACAATTATAACATATAACTAACATGTTATGCATAACAGATTATGTTACAATTATAATGCATAATTATATATAACACATTATAGTTACAGTATATTATATAATAATATATGCTACTATTATATGTTAATCTGTAGTAACATATAATAACACAGACATTGTGCACACACATGTGAATCCTCCTGGTTCGCTAGATGTGGCTTCTGTGGCACGGGGGGAGGGGGGGGCTCTTACTCCCTCTCTAAAGAACACCCACGCTATTCTCAGTCCCACTCTGGCCACGCTTCTGAATGAGACCGTGACCTTCCAGCGCCTGTGCAGTGCCCGTTTCCTTTCTGGTATTGTCTACTTCTTAAGTTACTGGTCACCACCCACATTTTTTTAAAGAATAACTAAATATTTAAAAAAATAATGTCTGACCTCGAAATTTGGTGGATTAACTCTATATTAAGAAACCAAGTAGGTTGTAATCCATGCTTATCAGATTACTGAAAATAATGAGTAATGTACTATATTGTATTTAATATCTAAGTTTCCTTTTTTTAAAAAAATCCCTTGCCCTAGCCGCCTTGGCTCAGTGGATAGAGTATCAGCCTGCAGACTGAAGGGTCCCAGGTCCGATTCTGCCAAGGGCACCTCCCTGGGTTGTGGGCTCAGTCCCCAGTAGGGGGTGTGCAGGAGGCAGCTGATCGATGATTCTCATCATTGATGTTTCTCTCTCTCTCTCCTTCTCCCTTCTTCTCTGAAATCAATAAAGAAATATATTTTAAAAATCCACAAAAAACAACAAAAAAAACACACAAATCCCTCTGCTGAACTAAGCAATAACTTGTTCAAGTAAATAATTATTTAGAATTTTTAGTAAGAATTAGTCTCACTCTCATCGATGTTTCTAACTCTCTATCTCTCTCCCTTCCTCTCTGTACAAAATCAATAAAATATATTTTTTTAAAAAAGAATTAGTCTCAAATCTCTAAGAGCCTCTTTTTAAAAAAATATATATTTTATTAATTTTTTACAGAGAGGAAAGGAGAGAGATAGCTAGAAATGTCGAAGAGCCTCTTTATGTCATGGCAGGTAGATAATTTTTTGAGGTTTTATTCAGAAAAATAAAAAGCCCTCATGAGCTTCCATGGCCTGACCATCCTTCCTTCGCCCTGTCCGGCCTGCTCTCACGGCAACCTGCCCTTGACGCCAAGGCTCTTCCCAGCCCGCACCGTCCCTGGGACCACGTGTGTGGGCCGTCTCCTTCCTGGAACAGCACGTGCTGCATGTCACCAGCAGACCCAGGGGTCCCGTTACGACGCAGACTCGGACTCAGAAGGTTGGGACAGAGCCCAAGACCCTGCCCCGAGCCCGGGCCCCGTGCTGCACGCCCTGCACGCCCGCACTGCGCGTGTGGCAGGAACCACCTGGGACGCGAACACGGGTCAGCAGCCGGACTGTGCGTGAATGAACACAGAAGTTTCACACTACTGCTTCATGTAAAACAGCAGGTCTGGTCTAAGTTAGGAATCAAGCCATCTTATAAACGATAATCGTAACTTTCTTTTTCTCCATTCTTAACTTTTTTTAAAAATATATATTTTATTGATTTTTTACAGAGAGGAGGAGAGAGGGACAGAGAGCTAGAAATGTCGATGAGAGAGAAACATCGACCAGCTGCCTCCTGCACACCCCCCGCTGGGGATGTGCCCGCAACCAATGTACATGCCCTTGACCGGAATCGAACCTGGGACCCTTCAGTCCGCAGACCGATGCTCCACCACTGAGCCAAACCAGTTTCAGCTCCATTCTTAACTTTTAATAAAGCTGTTCCAGAGGGTTTCATTCTAGGTTGCTAGTATTAGATATAGCTCACTATTTTCACAAACTCCATATTCTTCAAAAACATGGACACGGGCCGAAACCGGTTTGGCTCAATGGATAGAGCGTCGGCTTGGGGACTGAAGGGACCCGGGTTCGATTCCGGTCAAGGGCATGTACCTTGCTTGCGGGCACATCCCCAATAGGGGGTGTGCAAGAGGCAGCTGATCGATGACTCTCATCGATGTTTCTAGCTCTCTATCTCTCCCTTCTTCTCTGTAAAAATCAATAAAATATTAAAAAAAAAAAAAAAAAAAAGCATGGACCCGGGCGAAGTGGGGAGGTCACCCTCCCTCCAGTCGTCGGCCTCCAGGTCTCCCTGCCCATCGGACGGCCCCACCCCGCCCCCCGCCCCCTCACCCCACCGAAGGAAGCTCTTTCATACCCAACACCCGATGTACTTCTTAATTACAGAATCCCACCAGTTTGCTGTGAGGATGCTTATCTTCCTATTGATTCACAGGGCGATGCCTCTCACATCGTTATTACATAGCAGAGGCAGAGGCAACGGGACAAGAGGAAGTACACAGAGTCCCTGTCAGCGGACAGGCCTGAACCTGAGTCTGCGGGTCACCGATGAGGTGCGGTGCACCCCCCAGCCCCGCACTGTGTAGGCACAGCCGCCTGCTGTGCACGCCCGGCGGCGGGGCCTCCCGGGAACTTCATCGTCGCCTCACTCACCTTGCTCCTGATCAAGATGCTCACTTCGCCAGACTCTATAATGTAAAAGCAATCGGCCTTTTCGCCCTGAAACGGGAAAGGAGGTCAGGTGCACAGCATCGCAGGGGGCACAGAAGTAGGTCATGTGCTGCTGCCTGAGCTCTGGTTTGATCTCTTGGCCAGCGCTACAATCGGTGCATGGCCAACAAGCCCGGACAGAGTGAGAGGATCCTGACGGCGGGTGCCAGTCCGATAGAACCGCACACACTTCCTGACGTGGGACAGACACCGTTCCCTCCGTGATGATGCCCAGGCGCCCGCGTGCTCACTGCTCCTGCTGCCTCACCACTGAAACCCGTGCCAAAGGATGGGCAGCCAAGGCTGCTCCAGGCAACAGCCCGGGCACTCCTGCCCCAGGGCCGTGGAGCCGGGTTACTCTGACCAAGGCAGCCCTGACAGCGTGGCCGGGGGAGGCCTGGCTGCGGGGAGGAAGGTGCTTTGACGTGGCCCAATGTCACCCGAGCCTCAGGCCCTTCTTGGGCTTGTTTTGACGCTAACCCACTTCACTGAACGAGTCATTCAGGTCGTTCAACAGGTAATTACGGGCTTACAGCGAGCCAGGCCCCAAGCTCGTCCAGGAATGTGAGACACACCAGCAGGCACGGCGAATGTCCCTGCCCTTGTGAGACGTGCAGCTGTACATGAGCTGTACACAGTCAGCAGAGGAATCATGAAGGTGCTGCTTGGAGGAAGGGTAAGAGCCACAGGAGAAAGGCGAGCGGCACTGCAGGGATGCGGAGCCTCCCGGAGGAGCGGCTGGAGCATAGGCGGGGAGGCGGGGGAGGCAGGAGAGCAGGTATGGGCCAAGGTAAAGGGCACGGCTTTTCGACCTCCCCCAGGCCTGGCAGCCAGGAATGAAGCTGACATCCCAGAGAACAAGACCAGAAGCCAAGGAAAGGAGGATGGAGGCAACAGAGGGGCCTGCCAGCGAGAAGCCATCACCAGCTCCGAGGGGCTGCAGGAAGTGAGCCGGCACCTGCTCCCGAAGGGAGGGGACACGCTGCCGGCCCTGCCCTGCCGGCGCTCCACCTCACCTGAGTGATGATGCGCTCCCCGTCCTTAAAGTTCTTCTCTCCGATCACATCCACGATCTTCATTCGCTCCGACACCTGCAACAAGACCACACGTTACCAGGAGCTAACAGCCACAAAAGTACCTGCACAGCACGCAAGTGAGGAGTCTGATTTGAAACCTCAACAACAGAACAGTTTTATCGCTTCTCTAATCCCCATGACAGTCTTCCTCACGGGGACTTTACCTCTAGTGACTTAAGGAGGGGCACAGACTCAAGAAATGCTTCAAACATCTTCCGCTTCCGTGCGTTGTTTTTCACTATGATTCTTCTAAAAGTCCCCCGGTCCTACAGGAAGAATACGAAAACTGGTCAGTGCGTGCGGGGGAGCGCCTGCTGGGGGTAAGCGCACCGCCAGCACCGGACTGCGGCGGCGCCAAGTCAGCTCCTCACTGCGGGAAGGAGCCAGAGCCTGGCAGCCGCGGGCACAGCCTCAGCCCTGACTGCGGAGGCTGCACTGCAGGCCACTACATTCACTCTGAAGCCCGAGGCTAGAAATGTGTCATTCAAAGTGTTACTTTTACACTTTGGAATATTACTCCATTATCTTTAGAATTCAGCTTCTACATGTTTTCTGGGCCAACCTAGGCCAGAGTGCTGCGGAAAGAGCAATCCGGACTGAGAAAAGAGGAAGGCATTGTCCAAAACAACATTTTCAAAAATCTATGTGACGAAATGTTACAGAGACAACAGCAACAGCAAACATTCCAGCCGGAGAAAAACCAGCTGTGTCTTCTGATGCGACTTTATCCACGCCCCCCCCCCCTTCCCCTGCTTTCACTTCCCAGAACATCCTGCTGTGTGAGGCCGATCCTGGGACACACCAGCAGCTTCCGGGGCCTTCCAAAGGGGGGAGGGGACACTCCCCTGTGAAGTGGCCGCTCCCTCAGGCCACCCGCTCAGAGCCAAGCAAATAACCCCGAGGCTCAGAAGAGAACAGAACCCCTGCCCTCCCTGCCTGAGGAAGGCCCTTAAGTCGTCCGGGAAGTGCTGGGCTCCAGCCAGTCTGCCTTCCCCTTCCCCTTCCCGTCCAGGATCTCCCTGTTCCTTTGTCTGTGGTGTGACCTGTAGGTTTTAGTTTGAGAGAGAATACTGAGGAATAGGGTTATTCCACATCGGCTGGACCAGCAGTTGGCATCAGTGCATTTACTTTATTTACATAATTATTTAAATCTTCACCTAAGGATTTGTTTTTATGGATTTTAGAAGGGGGAGGGAGAGGAGGAGAGAGCGAGAGAGAAGTCCGTTGCCTCCCGTACTCATCCGGATCAGGGATCAAACTGAAAACCTGGGCATGTGCTCTGACCGGGAATTGAACCTGCAACTTTTCGGTGTATGGGATGATGCTCCAACCAACCAACTGAGCTACACCAGCCAGGGCAACATCAGGGCACTTTACAACAGAGTCTATTTTCCCCAGATCACTACTGACCTATCCTGAGTTTTCCCACCACTGAGTCCCAAAGTGTGTGACCAATTCTGAAGCCATTCTAGCATTCATCTCTCAGGAGCATTCTTATTTCTTAACTCACAGCCAAGTGCTCTATTACGTCTTTAAAATGTGATTTCAAAAAACAGTATTTCATTGGAGGAAATATGTTGATGATTCTAGGGAATACACTTAATTCTGCTTGTAAGGTAAATAGAAACAAATTACTATAGAAGCCAATGTTTTAAAAGTGAAATATGAAGTATGTACAATAGAATATTTTGTTAAGAAAGAAGAGAGGCCCAGCTGGCATGGGTCAATGGTTGAGTATCGACCTATGAACCAGGTGATCATGGTTCGATCCCCGGTCAGGGCACATGCCCAGGTTTCAGGCTCCATCCCCAGTGGGGCATGCGGGAGGCAACTGACTAATGATTCTCTCTTATCAATGATGTTTCTAGCTCTCCCTCCCTCTCCCTTCCTCTCTGATGTCAATAAAATGTATTTTTTAAAAAGGAAGAGAGGCAGAAACCGGTTTGGCTGAATAAATAGAACATCGGCCTGCGAACTCAAGGTCCCGGGTTCGATTCCGGTCAAGGGCATGTGCCTTGGTTGCAGGCCCATCCCCAGTGGGGGTGTGTGCAAGAGGCAGCTGATCGATGATTCTTCTCTCATCGATGTTTCTAACTCTCTATCCCCTCTCTTCCTCTCTGTAAAAAAATCAATAAAATATATTAATAAAATAAAATAAAAAGTTATATATATTTTAAAGGAAGGTAGGTCATGCTTAATACAGGATACGGATCACAGCTGTGCTATGCCTAAGATATTCTAGGAAAGTTCTCTTTCCCAAAATATGGCCATCAGCCATTGAAATCTACTGGATATTGGCATGGACCAATGCACAGGCAGATGGCTGAACAGAGAAGAGTTAGTGCAGGGAGCGACAGGTGCAAAATGATGCTGGGAGAGCTTCCAATGACTTTTAAAAAAAAGTATTTTATTGATTTTTTACTGAGAGTAAAGGAGAGGGAGAGAAAGCTAGAAACATCAATGAGAGAGAAACATCCATCAGCTGCCTCCTACACTCCCCCTACTGGGGATGTGCCTGAAACCAAGATACATGCCCTTGACCGGAATCGAACCTGGGACCCTTCAGTCCGCAGGCCAATGCTCTATCCACTGAGCCACACGAATTAGGGCTCCAGTGACTTCTTTGTCCAGGCTGTCTCCAGCACAGAAAGCCGTCACTGCTCTCTTTCTACTTGTCCCAAAAAAATCACCAACAAAAAGCGTACTAAGAGCTGACACGACTGCTTCTCCGCCTTTGGGCTGAGGTCAAGCGCAGAGCTGACGTGACTGCCAGCTCGTAAGCGCAGCCACCGCCCCGGGGTTTGGAGTAAATGGCTTCCTGACACACCGCTTGGGAGAAATGGAGGGCACGTTGGAACAAGACCTGGCACAATGTCTCAGACAACTGGCTGTCCCACGCAGTGCTCGCAACAGCCAGGACAGAAACCGGAGCAGAGGGATTCCCACTGGGCTACGCAGGGGACCCTTCTCTACTCACCAGGCCCCACAGGGCGCCTTCCGAAGTGGCCACAATGGTGGCGGCCCGCGGGGTGTTGTACATCAGAGCGAGCTCCCCAAAACTTCCACGGTTGTCGTACTGACCGACAGAGCGGGTGAGGTCATTGTTTGTTACCAAAATATCATACGTTCCCCTGAAAGCATAAGAAACAGCTTCACTTGTCAATGTTAACCGTGAATGAAGGTACGCAGGCAGCACATGAACAGAAGGTACAGAGACAGAAAACACTGTTACAGGGATTCCCAACAGGTCTTTGTTTTGACTTGTATCCTCTGACCTTGCTAACCTCCATCATTAGCTCTCGTAGCTTTTTGGTGGCACTTGGATTTTCTAGAGGGTCGTGTCGTCTGCAAACTGGGTTCACTCCCTTCCCAATCTCCATGCCACCACCTGCCCTTCCCCCGCCCCCCTCCGTCCTCACTGCACTGGCTGGGACCTGCGTGCAGTCTGGAACAGAGCAGTGACAGCAGACTTCCCTGCTTTGTTCTCTGTTGTTTAAAGATAAAAAATTCAGTTTTTCACCTTTAAGCATGAAGTTAGTTGTAGGTTTTTAAAAATGCCTTTATCAGGTTGGAGAGAAGTCCCTTCTGTTCCTAGTTAGTGGAGATTTAAAAATATATATAATCTTTAAGAATATTGCTTTATTGATTTCAGAGAAGGGAAAGGAAGAGTGAAACAGAAACATCAGTGATGAGAGAATCATAGATCAGCTGCCTCCTGCATGCCCCCCACTGGGGATCGAGACCACAACCCAGGCCTGTGCCCTGACCTCCACGCTCAACCACTGAGCTACACCGGCTGGGCTGTGGAGAGTTTTTGATCAAGAAAAGGTGTTGAATTTTGTCAAGTGTTTTTCAAACTGCAGGTACTGAAATGATTGTATGGGTTTTCTTTCAGTCTGTTGAAAACTAGGATGTAGAACTGATTAAAGTAAAAAACAAAAAACAAATACAATTTCTCTGTTGATTGATAATTGCTAAATAAAATATTCAGAAATGACAAGCGTTTGGAGAAATATACCAAACATATTCTCTCAATATACCAGCGAGGCGAATGTACATAAATGTTTCAAATTTTCTGCAAGATAATTAACATCAGATAGCAAACTGCTTCAAGAGACTCACTGGCATAGCAATTCCATTTCTAGAGAGGATTCTAAAGAATATAATCAAAGACACTGGAAAATATTTAATTATAGGATGCTCACCAGGTCATATTTATAACAGCAAACATTACAATTTAATCTGCTAACCATCGAGGGTAGGTCAGATACATGTCTATGTTCACGTTGTACCGTCAATATAAACGATGACAGAACACTACTGCATCCCACAGCACTACTTAGGATGGATGTTAAATCCAGGCCACACGCAACACCAAAGCACACCAAGGTGAGTGTGAGGCCAGACTGTCAGTTCTCAAGCCCCGCCCCCGGTGCGCCTGCCTCCTCGCCCCGCTGGAGGCGCTGAGAAGAAAGCCGTGTGCGCCCTCCTCTGGCGAATGCAAGCACCGCAAGTGCCAGCCAGAGTGCCCTCACCCAGCCCCACCTTCTAGCCCCATGGCAGTCCAAGCCAGTCATCTCTCCGCTCATCTGTGTGGGCTTCTTGGGGGCTTGCCTTGCTCTCCCTAAAGAGCCTCCTTATGTAAGAACCACCCTCCCTTAAAAAAAATGACCTCCATTCTTTTTTAAAAAAGTGTTTTTCCTTATTACTTTTTATTTTATTATTTTTATTTTTTTTCTTTCTTTTTTTCCTTATTACTTTTTAGAGAGAGATGGAAAGGAGAGGGATAGAGAGAGAAACATCGATGAGAGAAATATTGACTGGCTGCCCCTGCATGCCCCTATTGGAGATGGAGCCCACAACTTGAGTATGAAAGATCCGGATGATAACACAGAATCACAGCTATTCTTCTAGAAATCAATTCCCCTGAACACTGGCAAATAAAATGTTTAAAAAGCACATCCTGCCACCCTAGCCGGTTTGGCTCAGGAGGTAGAGCATTGGCCTGCAGACCAGAGGCCCCAGGTGGATTCCAGTCACTGGCTACCTTGGTTGCAGGCTCCTCCCTGGCTTGGGCTCTAGTTGGGGCTCATACAGGAGGCAGCCAATCGATGTGTTTCTTTCACATTGATGTCTCTCTCCGTCTTTCCCTCTCTCTCCCACTCTCTAAAAATCAATGGAAAATTATTCTCCGGTAAGAGTTCAAAAATAGTAATAATAAACATAATAATAAAATAAGCAGCACATCTTGCCTTACTGTAAAGGAGACTTTCTACTGTAACAGTGGCCACCCACGCTGAGATCACTGAGGACTCCTGAGGGCAGCAGGAGAGAGGGAGGGGCAGGCTGTGGGCAGAGGGGGCAGGCTGTGGGCGGAGGAGGGGCAGGCTGTGGGCGGAGGGGGCAGGCTGTGGGCGGAGGAGGGGCAGGCTGTGGGCGGAGGGGGCAGGCTGGGGGGAGCTGTTCATCTGCCTACGCCCTCCCCCGCTGCACACGCACAGGGTGAGCACTCAATCACACAGGTGCAGCCGCGCACTGCAAAGCCCATCCATGGCCTACCGTTCTATGACATAAAAGTTGTCTCCGTCATCTCCTTGGTCAATAACATGCTCACCCATTTTGACTACCTTCTCAAACATGGCATCGAGGATTTCCGAGAGCTGTTCCTGCAGGTGCGCACAAGGAGAAAAGACAGCGTTGACATTTCCTGGGGGGACGGGGGAGTGGGAGGGGTGAGCTATGCTTTCTCAGCGTGTGATTACATAGCGAAGTCCCCTCTTCCAGCAGGACCCGGAGGGCGCTCTGAAACACGTGCTTTCCTGGGCCACGCAGCCTGCACTCCATGGGCCATGTGCACCTCGGATTGCTAAGCTTTCCTGGTGCTGCTTGGAAAGTGTTAATTGAAGGCCCTGCTGCACCCAGAGCCGTCCCTGCCTGATGGCTCACTGTGCCGTGTGTAAAATCACAGGTCACCTCCTTCTCGGTGTGGACTTAACAGGACCATCAGATCCACGGGCTGGGATGGCGTCAGAGGTTCCCCGCTCTCTGAGCCTCAGTGTTTGCATTTGTATAAAGTGGCTCACTGGTTTCTAGCTTATCTCTTTTCTATGCCTAGAGGGGAAAAACCTAAGGGAAGTACTACATAACAGGTAACTGAGATCTATTACTGGACAGCTAATATTGCCTCAATCATTTCTTTACAACTACTTACTTAGCAATATTCCTGCCATAACCAGAAGGAAACTGTACCAATAAGCATAATGGAACCAAACAATGTTGTTAAATTTTCACAAAACATTGGTTGGTGTCTGGGGCCTGTTAGGCAGGGAGATGGGTGACTACGAGAGGCTTAAAGAACAGCTTCCACGCAGAGAAAGGCTTTCCTTTGGAGGAATGTGGATTAACACCCGGCCAGGGAGTAACTTCATTGCTGAACAATGCCGTGTGATTGACTGCTCTGCCAGTGTGACCGTGCCATGCCACCTAGAATAACCGAGTCTCAGAGAAAGGCTTCTCTTGGTCCCACGGCTCCGTGTGCTGACACTGTGAAGCTGACAGTGCCAACAAGGAAAGCTCGCTCTGACCACACAGCTAGCAAACGGGGTGCTCTCCCCGGGCTGATGGAGTCCTCTGACTGTCACAGGTTCACTGTGACCAGCCAGCTGCCCGGGAGGCTGGGAGTGTCTTCAGAAGGCATTCACAGGGGCTGGGAGTGAGAATCCTAGTCCCGTGTCTCCATGGCCTGCTTCCCGGAGGCCCAGCACCTCAGCCATCCCGTGGCTTCAGCACGTGGCCCTCCACGAGGAGAAGGGAAGGGAAAGGGAAGGCGCTCTGGGGCCAGGAGGTGGTCCTGCTCTCGCCACAGGCAGGGGTGGAGGCCTGCGCAGAGATCCTCACCTTGCGTGGCCGCCCGGAGGTCTCAGGGGGAAGTGACCCGAGGCCCCCTGAGGTCTGGAAGCCGGCACACTCCGGGGCACACACTCCGGGGCACACACTCTGGGGCACAAACTCCGGAGGAAACGCCCGGAGGGCGAGGCAGGCGCTTCCACCTAAGCCAGGCCAGGCGAACCTGAGCATTTCCTTCTTACGTGACCAGCCTGCAAGCCTGGAGGGAAGGCCCAGGAGGAAGAGCGAGAGCAATTCCAGGAATACCGGACGCCACCGGAAAGGCTCACCGTGGTTACGGTGGTCAGCACAATACTAACATCTGTAGGTGAGACGAGTCTAGAGGTTTATGCCTCACGTGACCGTAGCTAAGACACTGAAAACTAGTTAAATGATAAACAGGAAAAAAGCTGAAAGACAAAAACATTTTAAAACAATGTTACCTGATCAAGGTTTCTGAAAAGGAGAATATCTTTGCAAGCTTCCTGAAGTCTGCCTCTCTGCTCATCAGTTTTAGGATAAACCACCTGCCAATACAAATAAAGCCAAGGGAATTTAAGTTCCGTTTTAAAACCTTACTTTGTTTACAAATTGGTGTATTTCTCTCTCCTCAAAAGGGGGAAGTATGGCGAGCAGTTCACGGTGAGTTTAACTCCTCACAAACACCACGCAGGTGACGGGACCGTGTCTGACAGCGAAGAGCTCCCCTGAGGTCCCCCACGGGCTGTGGGCTGCCAGCCTGCTCCGCCAGCAGCCTCCGTGCCCCGCTGAAGCCGAGGGTACAGATTCGTTCATTCAACAAACAGTAGGCATCTACGAGGTGCCAGGCATTGTGTTACCCCTGGGGACACAGCAGTGAACACAGACAAAAGCGTCCGCTCTCATCTGTCTGCGTATACAGAAGCCTGAGTGACGGCCACCTCGGGTCAACCCAACGGCAGCTGAGGGGCCACGATGATGCACACTGACCACCGGGGGGCAGATGCTCGGCACAGGAGCTGTCCCTGGTGGTCAGTGTGCTCCCAAGCAGGAGTGCTGCTCAGCGGACAGGCAGGGCCAGATGCCGCGGAGACCACGCAGTGGCCGGCAGGAGCAGCAGGCAGCATCGGGCTGACCCCGGTAGAGACACGAACCTCCGGAAGGAGTGAGGGACCTGGACTGCAAGAGCCCAGGACTGCAAGAGGATGTCTGACTGCAGGCTTAGGCTCGATCCCCACTAAGCCAGCAGACCAACATCCCCGAAGGGTCCCAGACTGCGAGAGGGCGCCCCCCAGTGCACGAATCTGTGCACCGGGCCTCTAGCTTTTTATATTCTTCAACCAATTAGATTTAAAAAGGGCACTGTGTTGAGATTTTAATTTGTATTTAGTTACCATCATGATTAGATTTGGCGTGCAGAGAAGAAGGGGAGGAAGTTGGGATGGAACCAATCCTACTTACTGCCCTTTGCTGCACATCTTACCCTTGGCTCTGCGTCTTCCTCTTCATCATCAGGGTTGTAGGCCTCAGCACAAACTACATTTGGAGAGAGAAAAAGAGCAAGAAAATGAATAAAACAATATGCACTTTTACTAGAAAAATAGGGAGTGAAAACAATTTTCTTTTCCTCACTGCTTGCTAAAACTGTCCTAACGTTTTAATCCCTTCTTTCAGTTCACAAAGGTATTGAAAACCTCCTAACGCCAGCAATGCTGTTAGGTTCGAAAAGCCAGCTCTCTAGCGATTGACAGCTCCACACAGAAGAGATGATGACAGGGTAGGGTAAAAGGATTCACAGTTGTTTGTATGGAAAATAATACAATTAATAAATAATAATACAGGATTAAACTGTGTTTTGCGTCCTCACAGCGGTATGCCTACTTCTGCCCCACCCTGTTACCATCCATTAAACCTGACGGTAGTGGTGAGGACAGCAGGTGAGCTACAAGCAGGGGTGGAAAACCACAAAGTACATGACACGCAACATGCACATCTGGCTACGGAGTTATTATGAGCAGAATCAACTGAAGTAACTCACACGGACGGCTTAAAAAATGAGGAGCCCGGCCAGGTGGCTCAGGGGTTGGAGCGTTGTTCAGTACCCCAAAAAGGCGGGGGTTTGACCATGGTAGAGACATGAACCTCTGGAAGGTAACCCATTGATGTTTCTCTCTCTCTCTCTCTCTCTCTCTCTCTCTGTCTCTCTCTCGTCAATAAGCATACCCTTGGGTGAGGATTTAAAAAGAAGAAAATAATAAAGTTTAGACAAGAGAGAGACTGTGTCAGCTCTGCTCTAGGACATGACATAAACGTAAAGCATGGTAACCCGTTTAACGGATAGAGCGTAGGCCTGTGTGCGCGTTGCCTGCAGCACTTGTCTTTGTCGGAATTCAACCAGCGGCGGGCGATGCTCTGCAGAGGGCAGTCCAGCCAGCGCCTCAGGCTCTGGGTGGCTGAGCCAGAGACGTGAACAACTGGATGTGGAAATGACTCCTGATTGTTCTCCGAGCCGCTCGCTCCCACACGCCGAGGCCAGGTGCACTGCTCTCAGACCTGTCCTGAGAGGAGCGCCCAGGCCCCTGTGTCCTTCTTGGCATCGTCATGGTGTCTGGGCAGGAGCCAGAGGAAGCTGCCCCGAGAGCCGCCAAGCAGACGGCATGTTAACCCGCAAGCCTCTGGCTGTGTCCTCAATGCTGCCAGTCCAGCCGGTTTTCCAAACGAGGGTTCACCAGAACTTCCTCTCCTATCCCATCACCACCTCAGCTCCTCCTCTGCAGCCCTCCCTCTCATGGACCTTTATTCAACCTGCCCCACTGCTCCTCCTTCGTCCTCCACCTCACAAGCCCTGCGTTCTGGAGCCAGATGGGTACATGTGCATTATTATACTATGACTTGAACAAAAGTAGTTATTTTCATTAAATTAATATGGCCGAAACCAGTTTGGCTCAATGGATAGAGCGTCGGCTTGGGGACTGAAGGGTCCCGGGTTCGATTCCGGTCGAGGGCATGTACTTTGGTTGTGGGCATATCCCCAGTGGGGGGTGTGCAAGAGGCAGCTGATCGATGACTCTCTCTCATCGATGTTTCTAACTCTCTATCCCTCTTTCTTCCTCTCTGTACAAAATCAATAAAATATATATTTTTAAAAATTATTAATATGTTTCTATTTGTGGAAAAATATTATGGCTTTAATTTTCAAAACTGGCTCTGAATTTTCCCCTTTTCTTTGGAACTCCCCCCCTTTGCCCTCTTCCTCTGTTTACACCCAGCCTCTCGATTTCCTGGTCCTGAGCCCAAATTCTTCCCATTTTCTGTGTAGAAATCCACTTCTAAGTGTCCATGTGACTGTTCTCACATCAGGAAGCTTGTCTCAGTGCACAGGCTCCCTGGGGGAGGTTGGATGGCCCTGCCTGCTGCAGCCTCAAGAGCCACACTGAGCACCGTGAGATGCTGAAGGCCTATTGAAAAGGAAGACTAGCCGAAACCGGTTTGGCTCAGTGGTAGAGCGTTGGTCTGTGGACTGAAAGGTCCCGGGTTCGATTCCGGTCAAGGGCATGTATGTTGGTTGCGGGCACATCCCCGGTGGGGGGTGTGCAGGAGGCGGCTGGTCGATGTTTCTCTCTCATCGACCTTTCTGACTCTCCATCTCTCTCCCTTCCTCTCTGTAAAAAAATCAATAAAATATATTAAAAATAAAATATATAAAAAAGAAAAGGAAGACTAGCCCTGGCCAGTTTGGCTCAGTGGACAGTGTTGGCCTGTGGACGGAAGGGTCCCAGGTTCGATTCCTGGTCGGGCACAGGCCCGGGTTGCAGGCTCAATCCCCTGTGTGGGGGGTGCAGAAGGCAGCCGATCAATGATTCTCTCTCATCACTGATGTTCCTACCTCCCTCACTCCCTCTTCCTTCCCCTCTGAGATCAATAAGAAATATATTGGAAAGAAAGAAGAGGAAGACTAGCAGCACAGTCCATTGCTTGAAGGGATTTATTTTGCCATAGGTCCCCAGCAGATGTCACTGGTCAGCAACATGAACCAGTACAAAGCGACACGAGATTATCCAGCCCAGTCTTCTTCCAAACTGTAACTGGTGCTTCCTTCACCCAGAAATGTGACTCATTAAAATGTGCTGGTGGCCCCGACTCGGTTGGCTTAATGGATAGAGCGTCAGCCTGTGACCTGAAGGGTCCCGGGTTTGGTTTTAGCCGGAGGCACATTCCCAGGCTGCGGGCTCCATCTCTAGCGGGGCATGCAGGAGGCAGCCAATGATTCTCTTCATTGATGTTTCTCTCTCCTCCCTCTTCTTTCCTTTCTGAAATCAATAATAAAATATTAAAAAAATAATAAAACATGAATTTTTATTTTTAAAGTGCTTGTGAGAGAAACGTTCACGATATAAAGAAAGAGCACTGATCCTGGCCACAAGCCCGAGCCCCGTGCTGACCCGCTCGCGGGGTGTCTTAGTCAGCGTGGGCTGCCAGAACGACCACCGACCGGCAGCTTAAACAACCAAGTGTATTTCCTCCCGGCCCAGAGCTGGAAGGCCAAGATCCAGGCATTGGTTCTCCTGAGGCCCCTCTCTCTCCTTAGCTTTAACTGGATGCATTCTTTTTCTTTTTCATCTATTTTTATTTTTTTATTAAATTATTTTCTTTGTACATATACCATTGCCCCCCCCCACATTCTTTTTATTTTTAAAAAATTGTATTGATTTTTAGATAAAGAGAGAGAGATCAGTTTGCTGTTCCACTTACTGGTGCATTCATTGGTTACCTCTTGTGTGTGCCCTGACCTGAGATCAAACCCGCAACCTTGGCGTATGAGGAGGACGCTCTGACCACTGAGCTCCCAGTCAGGGCGATGCCTCCTGCTGTGTCCTCACATGGCCTCCCTCTGAGCTGGCACTCCTGGTGTCTCTTCCTCCCCCCCCCTTTCCCTTCCCTCCCCTCCCTTTCTTTCCTTTCCCCCCTTTTCTCCCCCCCCCCTCCTCCCTCCCTCATTTCCTTCCTTCCTTCCTTCCTGTTTTGTTAATCCTCACCTGAGGGCATTTTTTCCATTGTCCTTTTGTAGTGACAGTGGAAGGGAGGAGCAGAGACAGAGGGGCCGGGGATCCAGCCTGCAACCTTGGTACATGCCCTTGGCGGGAACTGGACCAGGGACCCTGCCGGCTGTGAGCTGCCACTCTAACCACTGCCCCAAACGGGCAGGGCTCCTCCTGTGCTTGTAAGGACGCCTGTCCTACTGGATCAGGCCTCATCGTCTGGACCTCATTTAACCTATTAGCCTCCTCCACGGCCCATCTCCAAGGCAATTACACTGGGATTGGGCCTCAGCATATGACTTGAGGGAGACACACGATCCATAACACTGGGTTTCTATGTGATTGTAAGCAATGTTTAGTAGTATTTCACCTCACCACGGCGATGGATGGAAAAATACTGAGTGCTGGGAAAGGATAAAAGAAAAAACCCTGCATCTAAGTACACTGCGAGCACCTGAGCCTTACCAGACGGGCTGGCTGGTCACAGGCACCTGCCCTGCGCACTGAGCTTCCCAGCGGCCTCTCCTGTTGGCTGTGCCGGTCACCGGCAGACGCAGACGCCTGCCGCCCGTGGCCTGAGGCCCCGCACACACATGCCCCGGAATGCGCTTTGGGGCGTCAATATACGTCCATCAGTGAGCGGGGGTTAAATGAACAGAATCAGACTAACATGTCAAAGGCAGAGAGAGTTCACATAACTCAGGATCATCCCAGATAGCGGCCTCCGAAGAATTCATAAACTGCTCATTCAAGTCCAGACTGTCCTGCTAGGACTGGAGGCACTGCTCCTCCACCCCCCGGGACGGCAGCGGCAGGGGGAGAGCTCGCCTGGAGCTGCCCCCCAGGTCTGAGCGCCCCCCCCCCCCCCCCCGTCTCCCCAGGGCCCCGGCCCTGGGACTCTCATGATAAAAGAAAGGGTGAGTGATGGGGGCTGGGCTCAGGGCCACTCAGCACCCGCCGGTCCCAGCTGCTTCCCGCTCCAGCCCAGGCCCTCACACACTCCCACGCCCCACACGGCTCGTCGGTGCTCACGTCCTCGAATCATATCAGGAGCCCAGCCCGCACCTCTGCTCCCACCGTATGTCACCTCCTTCCCCGCCTTCGGCAAGCAGCCAGGCCCAGCTGCCCCCTCCGAGTGTCAGGACACTGTTGGGCACCGGCCAACCAGGGCCGGTCCTGCCTTCCCGGCATGTGGGCCTCCCCGGAGTTTCCTCGGGGACGCGCAGAGGTGCGGCTACGGTCCCTGACCGCAGAGGGGGGCGGAGTGGGGAGGTGAGGAGGGAGGGAGGGAGGCCGGGGCAGTGCGTGCCAGGGCTGGAGGAGGAGCGAGGAGACAGCAGGTCCAGGGACACAGACTGGCACCGTGAGGAGAGTCTGTACCACGGAGCGGGGCGGGAGACAAGGTCGCTGGGAGAGAGGAGGTCAAGGACAGAGGGCAGCCACGTAGAAACAGAGGGCCAGCGTGAGGCTCGGCTGGGTGTCGACCTCTGAGCCAGCAGTCACTCTTCCATTCCCGGTCAGGCACAGGCCCGGGTGGCGGGCTCGCTCCCCAGCGCGGGGGAGCAGGGGCAGCCGATCCAGGACTCTCTCCCAGCACTGATGCTTCTCCCCCTCCCTTCCTCTCTGAAAACAGTAACAATACTTTTTTAAAGAAACGGGACAACATGGGGATTGTCAGATGAGTGCTAGTAAACAAGGAGGGGAGTAGCTGGTAGAATATAACGGTGAGAGCGTGAAGCCGAGAATTTCAGGAAGGAGGGAAGGAACGGTCTGGAAGGAGCCGGAGCGGCACAGACCAGCTGCCAGTGCCGCCGGAGGGAGGGGACAGCCGCCTGGGGAGCCCGCACAGCAGGCGGAGCTTCGGCCGGAGCACCAGAGCCCTGCGCCCGGAGGACAGGCCGAGGACCAGAGGGTCCCCCCGAGACTGCCCAGAGGGGTCTTAGTGATGGAGGGACACTGACCAGGGCTCCGCTCCCTTGGGCACACTGTCGCCCCCACTGCTGCGAGGGTCTCACTCTCTGCCTTGCTCCAGTCTCCTGTCTGTTCGGTGGCATAACCGTAGCACCCAGTGTCAGCGTAAGAGCTTATTCAACAGCACAAGGCAGGCAGGCATGGAGAGAGACCTCAAAGCTGGGCACCGAGCAGTCTGCATGTCAGCGAGTGCTCCAGGCTGCTTCCTCTCCTGCATAACCCTTTTAGAATCTGATTTTCACTTAACATTTGAATAACATTAAAAGCCTTCGATGTTCAGCAGGATTATGAAAGCTAAGGGGGAGGAATGACAGCATGTGCTGCCTGAGTCTCCGCAGCTCACGGACCGCAGCACGCCGAGAGCCCAGCAGCAGTCCCTGCGCCAGCCCCGCTGTCCTCCCCCTCCCCCACCGTCCTGCAGAGGCCAAGCGACACCACTGATCTTTCCGGAAAAGGGGACGCGGGCAAGGACTGACAGAAATGGGAGAGGACCCCTCACAGGTCTTGCACCAGTCTTAGTCTCTTCTCATTTCCCTTAACTACACGTAAGAACACCTTCTTCTAGCTCCTTCAGCAGACGTGGTGCACAATGTCATCACAGGCTCTCTGGGGAAATGAGCAGCTCTTCTCAAAGAGGAGGAGCCGAGGACAGAAGGTAAGGGGGAGGGTGGGGGACATGAAAGAACAAGGTGACATGTGCAGCCTGGGTGACAATCCTGAGACACTGACATCCCAACATACAGCCAAACTCACGTCACACTAATTCGCTAGTAAAAGGCCTTTCTCCAGAATAAAGCAGAGGAACTCAGGATGCACCCACAGTCAAACATTTCAATTACACGAAAAGCTTTGGGAAGACATATTGATCAGCTCTATGAAAAAAGGGGGTATCCTCCCCACCTGGCAGGTATGGCTCAATGGCTGGGTGTCGACCTATGAACCAGGAGGTCATGGTTGGATTACCAGTCAGGGCACAGGCCCAGGTTGTGGACTCGATCCCCAGTGTGGGGTGTGCAGGAGGCAGCAGATCAGTGATTCTTTCTCATTATTGATGTTTCTACCTCTCCCTTCCTCTCTGAAATCAATAAAAAGATGTTTTTTTAAAATGGGGAAGGGGGTGTTCCTTCTCAGCTTAGGAGCAATCATGAAGAAGAATAAAAAAGAAGAATAAAAAATATTCAGCAAATACTTGCTGAGTGCCTGCTATGTACCAGGCAGTTCAAGGTAACAGTTACATAAGAAAAACTTTGGGTACACTAAAAAGATAGCAAAAGTAAAATAAATAGCACAACCAATGTGAAAAACTTTGCATTAAAAATTTTAAAAGGTTAAAAATCATGACAGAAATTTACTCAAACTTACAAAAGTAATCTAGACCAGTGGTCGGCAAACTCATTAGTCAACAGAGCTAAATATCAACAGTACAACGACTGAAATTTCTTTTGAGAGCCACGTTTCCTAAACTTAAACTATATAAGTAGGGAGACTATTATTAACTTAATTAGGGTACTTGTTAGCTGGCCTTTGCTAAAAATGAATGGGGCCAAAGAGCTGCATGTGGCTCGCGAGCCACAGTTTGCCAACCACTGATCTAGATCATAACAGATAGAAGATTCAAGTATTACCAAATTAGGGAAAATAAAATGGGCTTCCCATGTTTGGAAACACTAGTTCTGGTTAACAACCAAAGGAGTGCCAAACAAAACACTGCTTCCCTCCGGCCTGCAGAAGTGGGCGCGCGTCCGGGAAAGGTCTGGCGGAGGGGCCTGTGCTGTGCTCTCCCCGCGGCTGTTCTGATGACGCTCCCGATCTCCGGAAAGCACGCACAGAAAAGCCAAGGCAGCGCTCAGTCTGACAGGGAAGGCCACTCCCACACTAAAGCTGAGGAAACAATTTAAGTGGCTCGAAAATGTAGGCAAGAAGTTAATGTCAGCATAATTTAGAAAACCAGAAATAGTAATGTTAAAAGTAGTTTTTAGAAGTCACAATTATGAATATGGAAAAATAGTAATGAAAAAAACCTAATTATAGCAATATAAAAATATACATATTCATATATATATATATATATATACATATACATATATATGCTCTGAACTGAAAATGAAATAGAATGAAAAAAATCAGAAAAATTTTGTAATGTTCTGAATGCTATTAACTTTTTAAAAAAATATACTTTTATTGATTTACAGAGAGGAAGGGAGAGGGAGTTAGAAACATCGATGAGAGAGAAACATCAATCAGCTGCCTCCTGCACACCCCCTACTGGGGATGTGCCCGCAACCAAGGTACATGATCTCAACCAGAATCGAACCTGGGACCTTTCAGTCCGCAGGCCGACTTCTACCCACTGAGCCAAACCAGCTAGGGATGCTGTTAACTTTTTATTAAAAAGAACAGTTTCTTTTTATTTACAATAACCCTATCTTAAAACATAGCAATATGTTTTGAAAGAGAACATATACCTGATACTCGCCGATTCTGTCTACTAGGAATTGGAACTGCAAAAGAAAGAAGAAACAACATTTAGTCATCATAATATCATATGACCCCATTTTTCCTCCCATTTTGCAAAGATCTTTGACAACAAAACTAAGAACCACAAAACCAATAATGGGTCAATTCACACTCTTCCATAATCAACCACAGACAGTTCAGCATGATCAAATAAAGACAATATAAAGGAATACAGATGATGTTTTATAGAATTGTATCCCTGAAACCTATATAATTTTATTAACCAATAACAACCACCCCAATAAATTCAATTAAAAAGACAATATAGAGAATAATATGTCTCTTTGAAAACAGGCTCTTTATACCGTCAATGCACTTAAAGGTGACAATTTTTATTTCTGCTCACATCCACATCCCATCTAATTTACATCACACCAAATGAATAAGAAATCTACCAAATGTATTGGTAATGTTATCACAACAAATAGTTAAGTGCTTTCTTTAATATTCTTTAAAAACAATCCCAAGACCTGCTAGATAATAGCATTTGTTTCATCTTCAAATAATTTAATGAGTATTACAAGAAAATGAAAAATAAATTAACCATTAAGTCACAGTCTCAATTATGGGAGGATTTTCTCCTGCTCATGGTTAGTGAAAAGAACAAAAGAACCCACGCATTTTTATCTTTGCTAATTTTTTCTATTTTTCACTTGTCATTCCTTGTTTGATGGTTACCTAAATTCTCACTACTAAACTATATCATCTTAATAAGCCTTTTTTTAACCTTCAAAGCTTAATCTAATTATCTCTGTGTGTTTTTTGTTTTGGTTTTTAATCTTCTTACCTTCCAAAAATGAGAAATTTGAGTATTTGTGAAAAACAAATTAAAGGTAGCTTAGAGAGCCTAACTCAATTCATGTGCGTTTTCTGAGACAGACAGACCCAGGAAGGAGGCAAATGCTTATCCTACTCCAGTGGTTGGCAAACTCACATTAGTCAACAGACCAAACATCAATAGGACAACGATTGAAATTTCTTTTGAGAGCCAAATTTTTTAAACTTAAACTATACAGGAAGGTACACGTCATTAACTTAATTAGGATACTTCCTAAGCTGGCCTTTGCTAAAAATGAAAGGGGCCAAAGAGCTGCATATGGCTCACGAGCCGCAGTTTGCCAACCACTGTCCTATATACTAAAAGCCATAGTATAAGTGTCCAGTCGACTGGTTGGCCTTTCAAACAATCAAAGCATACTATGCTAATAATATGCTAAAGCCACTCAATCACTCGCTATGATGTGCACTGACCACCAGGGGGCACACAGTCTACCATGGGGTCCGGCTGATTGGGACTGAGTGAGATGGGCTGGACCAGCCCTGGAGCTCTCCCTCGGTTGGCCAACTTCCAGAGTCTCTCCCCAGCCAATCGTGCACCGGTGGGGTCCCTCAGTCTGACCTGCACCCTCTCACAATCCAGGATCCCTTGGGGGATGTCAGAGAGATGGTCTCCGCCAGAGCCAGCAGGCCAAGCTGAGGGACCCCACTGGTGCACGAATTCATGCACCAGGCCTCTCGTTTACTATAAAGGATTAGAATTAGCTTTCTGCTCAGCACAGGGTCAAAGTCAAGTTACTGGAACAAATGGGGGAAGAAGGAATCAAAAGAAAGCCCCCGTCATTACTGGCAGAAAGTCCCTCTCTGCTTCTTCAATGGAACAGCAGATCAGTCACAAAGAGAGACGATACATTCAGTTCGGGTACAGGCACTGACTGCCCTGCACTACGTAGACCATTTGGGAGACACCAGTGAACGAGGAAACGCTCCTGACCTCATGGACTCGCGTTCCAGTTTGATGGTGCGGTCAGGTTCCTTGATCAGTTGGAACACAAGTGCCTGCCACTCAGGGAGAGAGGTGGAATGAAATGTACATCAGCCGAAGCTCTCATCCCAGGCCTTAGGGGTTTCCGTGATCAAAGCCACTAAACATGAGGACACAACCTACAATTATAACCCACACTCTGAACTAATTCAGCGTGGGCGCTATCAGAGGCTACCTCAAACAAAGCGGCAGATATCAAGAGCACAGAACTATTATAAAGTAACAATAGTGTGTTTAAAATAAAGACATAAACATCTCAAAAGCAGAGAGAATAAGATACAACGAAAAACAACCAAGAGATTTGAAAAAAAACCAAAAAACAAAAAACAAAAAAACCCCTGAACATCTAAGAGAAAAATAACAAGTCATTGAAATGAAAAACTATAATGTAAGGCATATTCTTAGTATATAACACTTAAAATGCTGAAAAATCCAAATTGCAAAATGATATCATCTTATTTATAGAAAATTTTACAGAATCCACAGACATGATAAAATTTCACTTTTATTCTGTTGTCAAATCATATTTCATGTAACTAATTCAAAGGAAATGAAATCTATGCACAGCCATTATTATTTTTTTACTGATTGATTTTAGAGAGAGAAAGGGAGAGGTGGAGAGAAACATCAATTTATTGATCCACTTATTTATGTATTCATTGGTTGTTGGTTTTTGTTTTGTTTTTTAAAGATTTTTAATTGATTTTTAGAGAGAGAGAGAGGAAGGGAGAGGAAGAGAAAAACATTGATATGAGAGTGAAACATCCATCAGTTGCCTCTTGTATGCACTCTGACCCAGGGTCAAGCCTGCAACCTTTGAACTGGCTCAACCAACTGAACCACACCAGCCAGGACTGTTTTTTGTTTTGTTTTGTTAAGCTAGAGAGAGAAGGAGGGAGGGGGAAGAGAAAGAGACATCCATTTGTTGTTCCATTTATTTATGCATTCATTGGTTGCTTCTTGTATGTGCCCTGATCTGAGATCCAACCTGTGACCTTGGTGAACTGGGATGATGCTCTAACCAACTGAGCTACCTGGCCAGCCTACATGCATAGTCTTTAACATAAACAAAGTGTTAAAACTTTGTACAAAGTTTGTACAAAAAGATGAAACTTTGTACAAAAAGATGAGAATAAAACTTTGTACAAAAAGATGAGAAAAAGTAATAAAATAAACAATGTGTTGAAATTCACTTAATTTGTTTCACACTATACTTAACTAGAATTTTTAAATGCAAAAATCACTATTTTCATATATCATGCAAAAAAGACAATATAATTATATATATATATTTTAAAAATATTTTTTTTTTATTTCAGAGAGAGGAGAGGAGAAGGCGCAAGAGAGAAATCTCAGTGATGAGACAGAATCATCAATCGGCTGCCTCCTGCATGCTCCCTGCTTGGACATGTGCCCTGACAGGGAATCAAACTGTGACCTCCTGGTTCATGGGTCACACTCAACCACTGAGTCACACCGCCAGGCACAAAAGTACTTTTTAAATTCCTAAAGCATCCCCTGTTACAGTGAAAGAGTCCAAAGGGTAAAAACATAAGGTGAGTTGCAGTAGAAAATGTAATTAAAAACAGGCACTTGAGGCATTTTAGCTTGAATGAACGAGCGGATAGAAAGGTAAATAAGATGGGTGAAAACACGCTGCCTGGTAAACCTGTTCTTTAATTTTAATCAGCACACGACTCACAGCTCTCCCAGGGCCAGGTCAAGCCCCTGCAGCTGAACAAGACACACGGGGCTCACAGAGAGCACAATCAAAGACCTCGACCGAGAGACCGTCTTCCTCCAAGTTCACGGCCGCTGGGGACTCAGAACGCACACCCGCCTCTACGTGACTCAGACCCTCGGCCAGCACAAGCACGAACATGCTCCCAGCAGAAAGCAGTGCCTCACGCGCTGAGAGAAGTCCTGTGACAATCACAACGGCGTGGCATACACTGCGCGCCCATGGGAAGGTCTGGAGGGCAGGAAGGTCCCTGGCCTGCAGAAGGAGGTCTAAGCATGAAGGCGAGTGCGCCTGTGATCCCGGGAAATAACAGGAGTGTGCTGCCCACATGTCTGCCAAAGAGCAGGCATGAGAGCCCGCCAGGGAGCAGGGCACGGGGAGCCCGCAGCCGCAGACTCGGGAGCGAAAAGCTCCATCGGGGCAGAGAGCAGAAACTCGACCGAGGTTCCCTGGGAGGTACCTGTAAACCCAGAAAAGGGAACTGGGGAAGGGGCCGAGGCTGACTGGAGAGGAAGGAAGACTCTTCCCCGTCCTAGGAGGGCAGGCGAGCCCTCCAGCCTGGACAGCTGGAAGGCCCAGGGAGAGGAGGGGACCCCACAGCCGCTGGAAGCGCTCCGAGTGGCCCGCTGGGGGCGCAGGAGGCATCGCAGGCAGGTACAGGGTGGCAGGGCTGAGGCATGTGTGGCTGCGACAACAGGAAAACAATGGGTCCAGAGATGGACACCGTTTAGGGACAGGCTCCATGTTCCCTCACAAATGTCGAAAGATGAAATCACATCCTTACAAGCATTAGAGACGACATCTTCAATGTGGATAGCATTCAATCTATAAATAAGGGTGCTGTCATAGGTTCCAAAATCACAAAATGTCGGATGGCCACGTATCCATAAAGTCATCGTTGTACGGATATACCTATTCCGTGGCAGCCACCGAACACCAGCCGACACTGCCAGTCTCCCGTTCACCGACGCCCCCTTCCCCTCATTACTCACACCCACTTCCTACAACTCCATCTGCTCTGCCTCCCACATCACTGCCTGGATCAGCCGCCTTCCCCATCTCCGTCATCCTGTCTGCAGGGCAGCCTTCTCCCCGACGCTGGAACAGCCCCCGTGCCTCCCGCAGCTCCAGTCCACGCTAGGAATGGCTCTGCCTGCAGCCGCTCTCTCCCTGCCAGGTCTCCTCCCGGGTGGGGGGGCACAGCCTCAGCCGGCAGTCCCCACCGCCTTGCTCAGGTCACAATTTCAACGGGCCACCTTGTCAGGGGAGCCGTGGCTGACCTGCTATGAGGTCAAACGCCTCACAGGCTCTGAGAAGCCCAGTCCTTTCCTCGGAAGCAGCAGTGGCCGGTGCGAGCTGCATGACCAGTGGCGCCTGGGCTGATGCTGTCTCCCCTGCAGGCTGTGAGTCCCCCCAGGGAA